AATTTCTTTGAGATATAATTGACAAATAAAAATTCTATATATTTAAGGTGTAAATTGTGGTGACTTAATATATATTAATTACTGTAATCAGGTTAATTAACACAACCATCACCTCACATAGTTAACCATTTTTTCAGTGTATGATGAGAACACTTAAGGCCGTAGCATAGTTCAAGTATACAATACATTACTGTTGAGTATAGTTACCATGCTATACATTCAAATCCCAGAACTTACTCATCTTATGACCAAAAGTCACTGATAATTTATACTCTTTAACCAGTATCTCCCCATTTCCTCCACCCCTCACCTACTGCCAACCACCATTCTACTCTTGGGTTCAATGTGTTTAACAGTTTTAGATGCCACGTATAAGTGAGGTCATGGCTATGTTTCTCTGTCTGGCCTATTTCACTTAGTATAATATACTCCAGGTTCATCCATGTGGTTGCAAATGGCAGGATTTCTTTTTTATGCCTGAATAATATTCCCTTATATATACGCGCGCGTGTGTGTACATATATTTTACATTTTCTTTGCCCATTCATTCATTCATCAATAACATGTTGTTTTCATGTCTTGCCAATGTGAAGAATGTTGCAATGAACATGAGACTGCACACATCTCTTCAAGACTGATTTTATTTCTTTTAGATATATACCCAGCAGTGGGATTGCTGGATTATATGGTAGTTCTATTTTTAATTCTTTGGGGAACGTCCATACCATTTTCCATAATGGCTATACCAATTTTACGTTCCCACCAACAGTGTATAAGTGTTCCTTTTACTCCATACCCTTGCCGACACTTGTCATCTCGTCTTTTTTTTTTTTTTTTTTTTTTTCGGGCCCGTGGGTGCTTCTTTCTCTATCTGGGCCTTTTCCATTGCGGAGCACAGGCTCTGGACGCGCAGGCTCAGCGGCCATGGCTCTCGGGCCCAGCTGCTACACGGCATGTGGGATCTTCCCAGACTGGGGCACGAACCTGTGTCCCCTGTATTGGCAGGCAGACTCTCAACCACTGTGCCACCAGGGAAGCCCCTCTTGTCTTTTTGATAATAGCCATCCTAACAAGTATTAGGTGATATCTCATTTTTGTTTTAATTTGCATTTTCCTGATGATTAGTGATGTTAAACACCTTTTCATATACCCATCGGCCACTTGTATATCTTCTTTGAAAAAATGTCTATTCAGGACTTCTGCTTATTTTTTAATCAGGTTTTCTTTTGTGTTTTCCTTTTTTTTTTTTTTGTGGGGCGGGGTGTTGGTTTTGCATGAGTTCCTTATATATTTTAGATATAAACCTCTTATCAGATTATGGTTCTCCTGTTCCATAGGTTGTCTTTCCATTTTGTTGATTGTTTCTTTTTCTGTGCAGAAGTGTTTTAGTTTAATGTAGTCCCACTTGTTTATTTTTGCTTTTGTTCCCTGTGCTTTTGGTGTCATATCCAAAAAATCATTGCTGAGACCAAGGAGCTTTTTCCTGTTTTCTTCTAGAAGTGTTATGGTCTCAGAGTATAAATTTAAATCTTTAATTCATTTAGAGTTGATTTTTATATATGGTATAAGATAAGGATCCAGTTTCATTCTTTGGCATGCAGATATCCAGTTTTCCCACCACCATTCCTAAAGAGACTATCTTTCCCCATTGTCTATTCTTGGTGCCCTTGTCAAAGATCAGTTAACCATATATGCATGGGTTTATTTCGAATTCTCTCTTCTGTTCCATTGGCCTGAGTGTCTGATTTTATGCCAGTACCGTACTGTTTTGATTACTAAAGTTTTATAATATAGTTTGAAATCAGGAAATGTGTTGCCTCCAGCTTTGTTCTTCCTTAACGTTGCTTTGGCTATTCGGGATCTTTTGTGGTTCCATACAAATTTTAGAATTCTTTTTCTATTTCTGTAAAAAAATGTCACTTGGGGCTTCCCTGGTGTCACAGTGGTTGAGAGTCCACCTGCTGATGCAGGGGACACGGGTTCGTGCCCCGGTCCGGGAAGATCCCACATGCCGCGGAGCGGCTGGGCCCGTGAGCCACGGCTGCTGAGCCTGCGCGTCTGGAGCCTGTGCTCCGCAACGGGAGAGGCCACAACAGTGAGAGGCCCGTGTAACAAAAAAAAAAAAAAAAGTCTCTTGGATTTTGATAGAGATTTTACTGGATCTGTAGATCACTTTGGGTAATAAGGACATTTTAACGATACTAATTATTCCAATCCATAAACAGGATCTTTCCTGTTTTATTTGTGTTTCTTCAATTTCTTTCATCAGTGTTTTATAGTTTTTAGTGTAAAGATTTTCACCTCCTTAGTTAAATTTATTCTAAAGTATTTTATTCTTTTCGATAGTATCGTAAATGGGATTGTTTTCCTAATTTCTTGGATAGGTTGTCGTTAGTGTGTAGGAACACAACTGATTTTTGTATCCTGCAACCTTACTGAATTTTATTCTAAGAGTTTTTTGGTGGATCTTTAGGCTTTTCTACAAATAAGATCATGTATCTGCAAACAGACAATTTTAGTTCTTCTTCTCTGTTTTGGATGCCTTTTATTACTTTTTCTTCCCTAATTGCTCTGGCTAAGACTTTTAATACTTTGTTGAATAGAAGTGGTAACAGTGGGCACCTCTATCTCATTCCTGACCTTAGAGGAAAAGCTTTTAGCTCTTCACTATTAAGTGTGATGTTTCTGTGGGCTTGTCTATATGGCCTTTAGTATATGGAGGTATGTTTCCTCTATGCCTAATTTTTGAGAATTTTTATCACGAAAGGATGTTGAATTTTGTCAAGTGCTTTTTCTGCATCTATTGAGATAATGTGATTTTTATCCTTCATTTTGTTATAGTGGTGTATCACATTTATTGATTTATGTATGTTAAACCAATGTGTATTTCAGGGATAAATCACACTTGATCGTGGTGTATGATCCTTTTACTGTGCTATTGAATTCAGTTTTGTTGTTGTTGTTGTTGTTACTGAGGATTTTTGCCACTATGTTTATCAGGATGTTGGCCTGTAATTTTCTCTTTTTAAAGTCCCTACATGCCTTTGTTATGAAAATAATGCTGACCTCTTAAAACGAGTTTGGAAGTGTTCCCTCCCCTTCAGTATTTCAGAAGCATTTGAGAAGAACTGGTGTTAATGCTTCCTTAAATGCTTAGTAGAGTTTCAGTCTCACCAATGAAGTTATCTGGTCCTGAGCTTTTCTTCATTTGGGAGGTTTTTGATTACTGCTTTAATGTCCTTACTTGTTATAGGTCTGTTCAGATTTTTTATATCTTTATGATTATTCTTGGTAGGTTGACTTTTTCTAGGAATTTATCCATTTCTTCTAAGTTATCCTTTTTTTTCACATATAATTGTTCATAGTAGTCTCTTAGGATTCATTGTATTTCTGTAGTATCAGCTGTAATCTATGCTTTCATTTGTAATTTTATTTGAGTCCTTTTTTTTGCTTAATTAATTAGCAAAAGTATATCAGTTTTATTTATCTTTAAAAAAACAACTCTTAGTTTCATTGATTTTTTTGTTGTCATTTTTTCTGGTCTGTTTCATATATTTTTGCTCTCATCTTAGTAGTTTCCTTCCTTCTGCTGAGATTAGTTTGTTCTTTTTTCTAGTTTCTTAAGATGTAAAGTTATGTTGTTTATCTGAGATCTTTGTTTTTTCTTCATGTCGGCATGTTTTGCTATAAACTTCTCTCTTAGAACTGCTATTGTTACATCCCATAGTTTTGGTTTGTTGTGTTTCCATTTTCATTTGTATTGAGATAATTTTTTTAAATTATTTATTTTTGGCTGCATCGGGTCTTAGTTGTGGCACATGGGATCTTCCTTGTGGCATGTGGGATCTTTCATTGCAGCATGCGGTCTCTTCATTGCGGCACTTGCGCTTCTCTCTCTAGTTGCAGTGTGTGGGCTCCAGAGCACATGGGCTCAGTAGTTGCAGCATGGGCTCTCTAGTTGCGACGTGCATACTCAGTAGTTGCAGCACGCAGGCTTAGTTGCCCTGTGGTATGTGGGATCTTAGTTCCCCAACTAGGGATTGAACCCGTGTCACCTGCATTGGAAGGTGGATTCTCAACCACTGGACCACCAGGGATGTCCCTCAAGATGCTATTTGATTTCTCTCTTGATTTCTTCTTTGACCCATTGGTTGTTCAGGTGCATGTTCTTCAATTTCCACGTATTTGTGACTATTTCAGTTTTCCTTATGTTATTAATTTCTAATTTCTTACCATTGTGGTTGAAAAAGATACTTGATGTAATTTCAGTCTTAAATTTCTTAAGACTTATTTTGTGGTCCGACATATAATCTATCTTGGAGAATGTTCCATGTGCACTTGAGAAGAGAAGAATGTATATTCTATGCTGTAGATTTAAACTAAATCATAACAATAATTAACATTAAATGTAAATGGTCTAAACATCCCAATTAAAAAGCAGAGATTATCAGGCTGGATAAACATAAAATAATGAACTATTTTGGAATGAATTCCAAAATCATTATGCTAAATGAAAAAAAACAGACACAAATGATTACATACTGTATAATAACATTTACATAGAATTCTAAAAAAGGCAAAACAGAAAGTAGACCATTGGTTGACAGGGTCAGCAATAAAAGAGATTGCCTGAAGAGGGATAGGAAGGAGTTTTTAGGTAGTGAAAATATTCTAAATTATGATTGTGGTGGTGGTTACATGACTATACATTTATTAAAATTTATCTACATGTACATTGAAAGTTTGTGAATTTTGTCATATATAAATTATTTCTCAATAAAACTGATTGATATCACACAGCTAATTAACTAAGTTCATGTAGGCATTTAGGAAATGTAAAGATGAATAGAAATGTTTTAAATGAACTGAAAAATGTTTAGTTCTGAAAAACAAATCTTTCTACCCTAATTAAATGATACTCAAAATGTTAGAAGTTAATGAGTTTTTAAATGACCTTTAATTACCTACTATCTTTTTTTAATATATTTTTAAATTATTAGGTTGAACTAAAGCGACAATATAATGACCAGCATTCAAAATTAAGAGGTCTTTTACCAGGTCGTCAGTGGTATGAAATTCAAGCATACAGGGCCTTAAACCAGGCCCTAGGTAGGTAAGTGGAGTGAAATTTAATGTAATATTATCTCTGACCAGGACTATTTGTAGAGCTAGTCTTGCTACTTTATTCCTTATAGTAAATTTGATGGAATTTTATTTCACTAGAACCCTGAGAACTGGTATATTTTCAGTGATAGATGTCAGGAGTGAAAGTTGAAAGAGTCAATGGAATAATTGAAACCCAAAATAAAACTCAATATTTGCTAAAGGTTAAAGATTTATGATTGGTCAGTGAGTGTACAACAGTGCTCAGTAAATGTTTATAATAAAGAAGCTCACCACCAAACAATAAAATTTTATCTTGTGAACATCAGAACCTAAATGATGATTTTATGGGTAAAAAGCAAACCATTTAAGAAGAGTTAAAACAAACTGTGTTCATGGTACTAAAGAATTCACACCAACTAACAGTAAAATTTAATTATAATACTCTTTTTTCTAAAGATTCTGGTCCATTAAGATTTGTGCTTTGTGGAACTAGTTTTTAAATCACCATTTTATACCATAATTTCACAGGACATCAACACTTTAAATTTATAAATACTATAATTATTAGATTATTTATAATCTAATTTAACACTTTATGTTCTCTATTTATGAAATTATAATTAGTTTAACCATATAATAGTTTTTTCCTGTGAAGCTGTACAAATAAAATTCAGATAATTCAAATAGAAGAACACAGGTTAAGAGTAAAGTCATGAAAATATGGCCATTTGACACGTTTTCAGATCAGCCAGAAGACCCACAGCTAACCATTATCTGCCCTAACCAATCTAGAAATTGGACTTTTCTCAAGTGTCTTGTTTACTCACATTAGCTCATTTAAACATAAGCAGACCAGCTTGCATTTGAGTTCAGATTTACATATGCTGATGACATGACTGCAACAGCTGGCTTTAAGTCCCAGAACACATCACCCACTCCCCTCCCCATCATTTCAGAATGATATTCTGCATTTGTTTCTCTTCAAACTGAGTGATTCAGTTATATGTTTAACCTACTGCCCTTCTCTGCCTAGAAATCCCACTGGTACTTGGCATCAGGTTTCACTGGAAATTGTTCTTGAAGCATTTCATCTACTTACTTTGTCTCTCCCTGTTGACTGACCTGTTTGTTTTATTTTAATATTCAGCAAATAGTTTCTAGGGGAGCCTTAATGTTTGTTTTAAAATTCTTGCCTTTTAGTCAGTAGGCTTAATTTCAGGAAAATAAATATTTTTACCTCAGTTGATTTTTTCTCTTAATATAAGCAATGCCTTGAATTTTAAAAAACCATTTGAAGCAAAAGTACATTTGTATCCTATTTTGTCATTTATAAACCTTTTCTACATATATTAAACAGGTTGTGAAAGATGAAATTACTTGTCTAATGTTACATAGCTACTAAATGCACCTTCATGTCTTGACACCACCTACATTTAAAACCTTAAGACTTGGTTTTTCATCCTTATGCCTACCTGTATCCACTAAAATTCTCACTATTAAATATAAACATCTCATTATTAAACTGTTAAATGTACCATATCCTTTCATTATTCTTTGCCTTGGCATACAAGTTACCATACAATTCATTTGGCAAGTTTACCAATCAAAACCTAGTTGAAGAGGTCATGTCCTTTATGAAGACTTTTTTTATTTCTCCAACTAGAGTTATTTACTCCTTAGGAAACCCATAGCACTTTATACTTATCTCTATTATAGCATATATCTCATTGTTTTGGAGTAGCCTGTTTATCTGTCTCCTTCCCTAAACATGTATTAGACATTTCTCCATTCTCAGCAACCACCTGTGCCTCATCTTGGGACATAGATGCACAATAAGTACTTGTTGAACTAGTGAAAAATGCCAGGTTCAGTGCTTTTCCAGCTATACCATATTGGCCAGAGAGCTTCTAGAGCTTCAAAACATACTTTTCAAGAATTTCAGAAAAAGCATGTGTTTATAATGTTGATGTAGAATACTATAGTTTCAGTATTTTATTAGTTAAAAAATGGATAGCCCAACTGTCATTGTACTGATTTTCAGGGAAACAGTATCAACAAGTAGCAACTTATTCCAAAGAAACATCCACTAAAAAAAATCAAGTGAATGTTTTACATCATTTGATAAAACTCATGTGTATTGATTGACATAAAAGGTGCTTATACTAATGCACTGTTCTTATAAGGCATATGTCTAGAAGGACTAAAGTAAGCAGAATCAAATTGAGTTTAAAAAAATGTTATCTTTTTTTTAAGCTCACATGGGGCTGTTAGAGTATTTGAAGTAATGTAAATCCATAAAAAGTAATAACAGCTTTCAGGAATGTACCAGGTGGTTTTGTGACCAGGTTACAACTGCACTATAAGTTTCCTAAAGGGTCTGCTTTACTAAAGTATAATCTTTGTCTCAAGTGGGCATAATTCATTTGAGCAAGGCAGTATGAAAACAATGGAAAAAAGAGAAGGTGAAACCTTTTTCTCTGAACTGTTTTGTTAACTTAAATGCCTTTCTGCCGTAGGACACTTTAAACATAAACCAAAATAGAATAGCACCCTGACTTTGCATTGATTTTCAACACTGTTATATAATATTGGCAATATACATCTTCCTATCCTGCCCAATTTTATGGTTGGTCTGATGCCTCAGAACCTATGGATTACTTTAAAATATCACACAAGAACGTCATATAAAATTTAGATTTTTTATGTCCCTATGGAATAATCAAACCTTTGTGTTAATTTTCACCCCCCTTTCAAAATCCCATGATAGTTAAGGAATAAAAATGTCAAACCTATAAAGTTGAAAAGAGTGGGAGAAGAGACAATGACAGATGAGCTGTCAATAAATTTTGAACACTGGAAAACAGATGAATAATTGAATGACTTAGCAGGCAAGAGAAAGCTGAAATTTAAATCTGTAATCATGAAAGCTAACAAGATCTTCCAGATTCAAGCATGGAAAAGCTTAGGACTTGGGGGTACTCTAAAGTGTTGGTTAAAGCACTGTTAAACTAAAGAGGATTTGTTACAAGTTAGTATATGTAGTAGTTAGACAGCCCCCTCCCCCACCCAGGTTTACTCTCTGGATAGAATGAACTAGAGAGTCTATATATTCTTTAACTACAGTTACAGCTAAGGATGTATTAAAGATGTGGGGTAAGGAAAGTCTACCTACTGAATGTGAGAGCTCCATTCTCTTTTTCTTCTCAGCTCTGAGTAGGCTGACAATCAATCTTATATCTTCACGGCAGGAAAGTACAGTGTTCCTGTCTAAGAAAACTGACCACCCCATGAATAAGGGCCTACAGGTAGTAACAAAGTGGCCCTGTTCTTACCTTACTGCAAGCCTCCCAGGCTATAAGTCCCACCCATGTACACAAAGCTACCAATCAGCACTTTAGTGCCTTACTCTTAAATAAGTGCATGGAGTCTTCACCAGATATTCAAAGAATGTCTGTAATATGAAAAACAGAGACCAAAACAATACCAACGAAACAAAAGCAGGGTGGAATAACTTGTAGAAAACAGAAACAGTGCAGTAGAAAAAAAATTGGCAAACTTTTTCTGTAAAGGGCCAGATAAGTACATATTTTATGTTTTTCAGGCCACATACAGTCTGCATCCACATTCTTCTTTGTTTTTTCTTTAACCTTTAAAATGTAAATACCATTCCTAGATTGCAGGCTATACAAAAACATGATATGGACCAGATTTTCCCTGTGGACTATAGTTTGCCAACTGTTGGATAAAAGAAAACTTTAAAAAATTTTATCAGTAATACCCATAGGGGGAGGTAAGATATTGCCTCCATAAAACAAGAACAGAAAATAAGAAAAAACTCCTAGACATTAATATGGTAGCAACAAATTTTAAATGCAGAATTGGGCTTAGGAGAGAAAATTGAAATTTCCCACCTCCAAAAATCAAAGAGAAAGAAAATGGGAAAGAATAACTAGAAAACTAGAGGATCAGTATGCAGGAAACAACTTCTGATAAATAGGAGCTCCATATGAAGAGACTAGAGAAAATAGAGAAAGAAACATGTCAAAGGAATAATTCAAGAAAAATGCTCAGAATTGAAGGACATACTTTCCTGATGAAAGCATCCACTCAAGTACCAGTAAAGGGGGAAAAGCTACAAAGCTCCTCACTATGCAGTTTCAAAGTACCCAAGGTAAAGAAAAGGTCCTGAAACCTTCCAGAGAGAAAAAGAGAACTCTCATACAAAAGATATAGAATCAGTATTGAAACAGACTTCTTAAAAGCAACACTAGAAGCTGAAAGACAGTTGAAAATTATCTTCAATTATTTGAGGGAAATTTTTGACTTGCAATCTAAGTTCTTAGCAATGCAAATGATCAATAAACTGTAAGACAGACTAAAGCATTCAGTATTCAGTATTAAAGGACCTAAAACATTTGCTTCAAATGCACACTTTCTCAGGATCCAACTGAAAGATATTCTCCAACAAAGAAGAGAAAATTCAGAAAGAGGAATACTAAGGATGCAGGAAACCGGAGTTCCAACCCAGAAAAGTGAAATTCCCAAAACAACCAAGGAAGAAAGCTCTGGGATGAATCTGTGTGGCAGTCCCATAGTAGTTAGTCTAGATTGGTTTTTGAGGATGGAAGGTTTTGCCCTTATTGAGAAAAATTCTTGCAGCTGTGACAAAGTGGAAATTAATTAATGATAGAAACATAGAAAATAAAGCAAAAAAGGAAAGAGGGAGTTATTAACTCCAAGGCAGACAAAAACGTCTTGTATGGGAAAGGACATGTAATCATACTGGATCATGTAATTCACCTTTAAATGGTAATCCACTGAATATTGATTTACAAAAGAATTGTGATATAATGCTGCTGGAAGAATGGAGAGGTAGTGAAGTTATCAGTGATATGAGATAAACATCTTCTGTAGGAAGAGTCAGTAAATGATTTCTAATGGTTAAAAAACAGGAAGTAGTAATAGTATGTTATTTAGAAATATGGAGGCAAATGACCACAAGAACTA